CTAATCTCATTAAAAGAAGAAATGATGGACATTTCTGACACTAATGGTTTACAAAAAGGAGCCATTTTTGTTTCTATAAATCCATAAGTCACCTCTCCCGACACCAGGGGACATCACTCTGATAATTATTAAACATCCTGTTGAATCACCTCTCTAATTACTAACATTAATAAAACAAACTGCTTTCACACAATCACTACATCCTAAACATATATTGAGAGGTCTTTGAAGTCTTGTGAAAATTTGCCACATCAAGGCAAATTCTCTACAAGAAGAAAGCGTTAAATGTGACTATCAAAAATATGATCCATACATACAATTACATATAAAACATATTTTGAATTTTAAGCAAAGGTGGGAGTGGGGTACTATTTCACAATCAATGACAAAAGGTGTTGGTTGAAATTTTTGATATTTTTGGTATCATTTATCAATTATTAGGGTAATATGAATTCATTTGCAAGATTTTCCCCCAAGTAATTTTGCAACTTGTTAATCTACACTTGTCTCATTTGTTCTCATTAATGTATTCCAAGTATTCTGATATTTTCTTTCAGGTATGAATGGTCTGAAGGATTACGTCAGTCTCCTTCAGAAGGAGCCCTAGCTAACATCTATGGCTTCCAGTGTGGTCATTACTTCATAATAAATCAACTTCCACACAGAACCGGACAATTCTCAATGTTCAGAGTGTATTCAATATCTAAACATAGGTGTTGGACCACAGTTGTTAAAGTTCCTCAAGAAAAGAAAAACTTCCCTACCCTTATTGACAAAGCTTTCATCTTGGCCAGGGTTTTAGTCAATGTGCTTTGATTAGGAATGGGCCCAGGCCTATTGAATATGAAGTTGTTATTGTAAAACTGTGTACATCCAATCTGTTATCCTGTCATAAGCAATCAATACACGTTAAATAAACTTCTTTTTAATCTCCAATATCTTTTTGAACTGGGTCCTTTGAAAAAAAAAAATCAGGAAGGTTTTGTTGTTTCCTCTTTCATTACTATAGATTTTCCGTTCAATGCTCTCTAGACAATATTAATTTTAAATTTTTACAATTTGCCAATTTGCAAACTGTTATTAATAAATAAGTATAAAACACAAAATTGGTTAAAACAATTCGAAATTCAATGACTGATTAGCAATAAATGAGGCAATATTTCCTGCGTATCAATACATATGCTGCACAGACCAAAGTCATTACATACATGTAGCATATACAACTATATATCCACACTGCAAGCCGGTTTTAAATTCAATCAATGATAAATAATTCTGCCAGAGCTATCAAGATTAGTTTAAATTTTGACCCCCCCCCCTTTTTTGGCATTTTATTGAAATTGCAGGTAACATTTTCTTTCTATAACTTTTCCCCCCTAACTTTCACCTAATTTGTATTAGAGAGCTACACAAAAACAATGAAAGCCTATTCAATTCATTTACCTTTCTTTTCATTAAAAAAAAGGAAAAGATTATTATGTTTTTGCAATAGTATGAGAACAAGCATTCAACACAAATTTCCTTACCACCCCAGAAACAAACCTAAGAAGCTTTATCTGTTTTCAGATCAATCCTCAACTTCCTCAAATTACACCAGAAGCTAAGAATATCAAAATATTTTGAAGAGATTACCAGCTAAAATTTCAAATACAGGTTATCTCTTATCTTTATTAAAGAAGAGAAGGAGATAATCATTTCTAACCTCACAAATATGAGGCTCCTAAGTCACATTGCTAACCTCGATCATCAGAGGAAAGGGGGGTTCTAGTTTGTAGACAGAAGATTTGAAAATGGTTAGTTCATAGGCCATGCACTGTTATTTTTACACTGTAGCAAATGGGAATTTAACCAGAAGTCTCTGTCGAGACTGAAGCTCTACTGGTTTGTACTTATAGCAAAGGAAGAGAAAAGTACTTAAGCAGTTGGAAATTGAAACTTTTCAACAGCAATAAATAAAATAATGATCCTTGATTAAGTCTCTTTATGTTCTTAGTGCAGTCTACTTGCATGCCACATTTATATTATAATCAAACTAAAATTGTATTTGGAGTAGCATTTTGAAAGAATTTCACAGAAATTTCTATTTTTAGTAACCACGGCAACACCGTTCATCGAAATCAAAAACCGATACACAGAATTGTGTATCTTAGTGTAGTCTACTTGTGTGCCAAGTTATATTGAAATCAGACTAAAACTGTAGGAGGAGTAGCATTTTGGAAAGAATTTCACAGAAATTTCTATTTTTAGTAACCACGGCAACACCGTTCATCGAAATCAAAAACCGATACACAGAATTATGTATCTTATTGTAGTCTACTTGTGTGCCAAGTTATATTGAAATCAGACTAAAACTGTAGGAGGAGTAGCATTTTGAAAGAATTTCACAGAAATTTCTATTTTTAGTAACCACGGCAACACCGTTCAACGAAATCAAAACCGATATACAGAATTGTGTATCTTGGTGTAGTCTACTTGTGTGCCAAGTTATATTGAAATCAGACTAAAACTGTAGGAGGAGTAGCATTTTGAAAGAATTTCACAGAAATTTCTATTTTTAGTAACCACGGCAACACCGTTCATCGAAATCAAAAACCGTTAGACAGAATTATGTATCTTAGTGTAGTCTACTTTTGTGCCAAGTTATATTGAAATCAGACTAAAACTGTAGGAGGAGTAGCATTTTGAAAGAATTTCACAGAAATTTCTATTTTTAGTAACCACGGCAACACCGTTCAACGAAATCAAAAACCGATACACAGAATTGTGTATCTTAGTGTAGTCTACTTGTGTGCCAAGTTATATTGAAATCAGACTAAAACTGTAGGAGGAGTAGCATTTTGAAAGAATTTCACAGAAATTTCTATTTTTAGTAACCACGGCAACACCGTTCATCGAAATCAAAAACCGTTACACAGAATTATGTATCTTAGTGTAGTCTGCTTTTGTGCCAAGTTATATTGAAATCAGACTAAAACTGTAGGAGGAGTAGCATTTTGAAAGAATTTCACAGAAATTTCTATTTTTAGTAACCACGGCAACACCGTTCATCGAAATCAAAAACCGATACACAGAATTGTGTATCTTAGTGTAGTCTACTTGTGTGCCAAGTTATATTGAAATCAGACTAAAACTGTAGGAGGAGTAGCATTTTGAAAGAATTTCACAGAAATTTCTATTTTTAGTAACCACGGCAACACCGTTCATCGAAATCAAAAACCGATATACAGAATTATGTATCTTAGTGTAGTCTACTTGTGTGCCAAGTTATATTGAAATCAGACTAAAACTGTAGGAGGAGTAGCATTTTGAAAGAATTTCACAGAAATTTCTATTTTTAGTAACCACGGCAACACCGTTCATCGAAATCAAAAACCGGTACACAGAATTATGTATCTTAGTGTAGTCTACTTGTGTGCCAAGTTATATTGAAATCAGACCAAAACTGTAGGAGGAGTAGCATTTTGAAAAATTGTTTACAGACAGACAGACGGACAGACAGACAGACAGACGGACGGACGACGGACGCATTACTATCGCATAAGCTCTTCTGGTCTCTGACCAGTAGAGCTAAAAATGGGAGATAACTGTTAAATTTTAACTGTGATTCTTTACTGAGTAAAACATAACACAGTAAAACTTGTATCAAAGTCACTGGAACCTATGAAATTACATTGCTATATCTGTAATTCCTTATAGTATATCCATAATTATACGGAATTTGTTAAATATAGAGCTCGGGATACAAGATAACTCCATTATATATACTAAACAAGTTTTACTGTAAATGTTCCCCCCCCCCCTTCCAAAAAAAAATAAATTAAAACACAACCAAGGGGGCACTCTGAGTTGCATGGGCAGGGATAAGAATCTGAAGTTTAATCTTACCTAGCCTTATTCATGTTATTTGCAAAAAATACCAGAATCCTGTGCTCCAGTTTATTCCTTATCAAATAAATAATATCACCGATCAAAAGAGTATAACTGCATCTCTCCAACATATAAAGCTCAGGCACCTTGATCAAAAAGCAATAATATTCCTACCTAAAACATTATAAAGTAATAATATATGATCCACAACAATATAATGATCCATGAACAACATATATAAACTTGGAAGAAACTGATCCTTAAAACACTTTTTCTCAATATTATTTATGTAATCCACCTACCAAGCTATAATTACAATTAATTCACCATGTACATGACACATTTGTTTGCAATAAAAACTGCAAAACTCTTATTACATTCATAAAACAGCTGTAATAAAAGGCTATTACACAAACTCCATTTACAAAACAGCTCTGACAATTCACACCTGGGGAGTTTAATGCAGGCATGTACCCCAATATTATTCTACCAAGCTCTTTCATGTCAGCAGACATCTTAATACCCTGTTCTAAATCCACACCATTAATCTTCTCCTTAAAAAAGCAGCAAGAACTGTATCATTATCTGAAATAGATATCCCCTAAAAACAAAGTCTGGGCCAAAAAATGTATGTCTCCTTGTCAAAGTGCGAACCCAACACCTGTATCAGTAATGTTGTCCATATCCAGAGGAAATAATTTATCTGCTGTCAGCATGAAAAAAAGAAAATCGCACTCCTAGGGCTATATCTATCACACCTCTACATTTATTATAAAACACTGATACATTTGTGTGCTGATAAATACTACATTTTACAAAACAGAAAAGAGAATGACAAAAGTTTTCAATATAAAGAAAACTTATATTTATTACATACCTCACAATCAATCAAATTCTCATACAGGAAGAAAGCTTTAAATTGACATTTTAAATGGATTTTTAAATGCCCAAATCAAGTTCAATAAATTAAAATTCATGTTTCCTGATTCAAGGTCCACATAGCTTTATCATTGGGACATCATATTCTTCATTTACAACTAAACTTTCTATTACATTTGTCCTCATATATAAGGTATTTAACATTCATTGAACAAAACTGAGAATATGTCAAACACTGTATTAATGAGACTTACCATTGACAGTGTATAATCACCACAGAGAGGTAACAATGTTAAAATGACCAACACAGGCCTGCTAATCCATTTGAACATATAAATGTACAAGGTAGAAATCAATAAAGATTTTAACATGTACACATAAACATTCCATTAAAAGCCACGCTGGATACACCACCTCAAGTTAATCTGTCACGGTATCATGAACAAATTCACTCCCACTCCCCGAAAACTCGACCAATCATTGAAAAGATGGATTCACCTACTGTATACTGATCTTTATCAACAAAATGTTTTTTTGTAAACATATTCAAAGTAAATTCTGCCTAATCTTCCAGAAGAGAAAGATTACAACACTTCATATTGACGTTTTCATGATAGTTAGCTTAAAGTCAGTACAGCTAGAATTTACTCTGTGACCTCCCTTTCTTTTCTCATTCACCAAAACTGTGCCGTTTTTCGCATGAATTATTTACATTTCATATGTCATGAGATACGTATAAATTGTAATAATTTAGATAAAATTTCTAATAGTGCAAGGCCCTAAACCTGACCTTTAAAAATAAACTCACACAGTATTACATGGTAAAACTTCATCAGGCTAAACTCACCAATATAACTGCACATTCCAGCAATTTTCTGATAATGGAAGTATACAGCCACTTTATCAGCTGTTTTAATTCCCTATAGAGATAAGCTACCATAAAAATCACCTGAACTAGAGTTACCTACAAAAAACTAGATGCTGTCATGAGACAGTAATACCCGCACTAAGGTGTTTGCCTCTAAATGCACACTCCTCTAAAATTAGGCTTTACCAAAGAAAAAGTCAATATAATTTAATAATTTACATAATAGGGCCTCCATGTATTCATCAAATTGAGCATAATATTCTCAAGTGAACATGTGACCCGTCACCATGGGCCTCGATCTTATAGGTACATGTATTTCATATTCATAATTCATTACCAGTCTGAAATTAAACAACAGAATTCAATTAATGATGTAAATTATGTTTGAAACAAGGGGGGGGGGGATTTTTGGCCCATAATTGGAACTTTTTAAATCTATTTTCTCATATAGATCAACAACAAATATTATTCAAATTAGTTTAAAGCGTTTTTGATGATTTTTTCCAAAATGTACAAACTTTTTTATACTTGATTAGGCAGAAACACCTTGAAAGCTGCCATATACCATTTATACCCAATCAATTTAGTCAACCCCTACCCTTCTCCCATCAACACACACACGCGCAAACACACCCTATTTTCCTGTTTTTGGAAATAGGCCTAGATGGCAAAGTTAAGATAAAACATCTTTTGTAAATAATAATTTTAAATTTGTTCTTATACTGTAAATGTATCTGAAGACCTGCATCACATTGGGCTTGCGTCACGTACCTAACTTAAGTACTAGTTTTACCGTTAGCACTGCACGTGCAGTACTAGGCCTAGTGTTGTGTACACATCATTGCATGTATGTCAGTTGGAATTATTTTGTGTTTAATTGGATTATATTTCATGAAGTTGGAGCTATGGCAGTCGGTAAGTACACGTTTTGGTATAGATTTGGGTAAAATAGTCTGAAATGCAACTGGTTAGGTTAAAGTTTAAAGGATCAAAGGTCATCCGATGCTGCAATAAGACGAATTTCACATTCTAAAGAGTTATCGCCCGTTATCGACGTTACATTCAGTTACAAAATACAGAATTTTTTTCTGAGAGGGAGGGGGGACTTCCAGACCAGAATTTTCTGAGAAGCAAATAAAAGGAGAAGTTATGGTGGTGTCTGTTTTCTAGGGTGGAGGGCATCCAAAGTCTTCTTTATATTATAGTCCTGCAAATTCGGGGGGTGGGGGATCTCAAGATACACTTCCAGTCCCTGTAAACAGTAATGGCAAATGATCATGTGACTCCTAAATAGTAGGAAACTTTTTCCATTTGACAATACATAATTTTGCGCTTTTTGTGTTATTATGTTATGTAAATTTAATGGTATAAAGGTTTTGAACCCCCTGGAGGTCATCCCCACTCTCCTAATGATTCTAACTGGAAATGTTCACAATATGACTGCATTAAATGAAATAAAAGTGCATCAATGATAAGATTGCTTGACATTTCATTCATCAACCTATCCTCCTAGAATTAGGAATGAAAATCATTCAAAGAGATGGACCGCATTAAAGTATTTGTATATAGGCTATTAACATATTTTTTTAAAAATGTAAAACAAGCAGTAGGTTTGCATACATGTCATGAATATAAACAGGGGTCTGGGATGGGGTGAAGGGAAGGATCGAGTTCCTGTCTCTTTACGTCTTAATGGTTGAAAACTCCTAAAATGAATGTTGACCTCAAATCCGACTTGTCCTCATTATTTTTCAAGTGGGGGTGTCTCCATTTGAGTGAAAAATTCCTGAGAGGGATGTTTAACAACAAACAAACAATTAAATGACATAAAAACACAATATTGATTTGCGTTAAGAAATATGCAGGGGATTTTTTCCATCATAAATCTTCTTCTCAAGAACAGCAAGGGCATTATTGTCCCCCGTTTTGGGGGAAAGGGAGGGAACATTATACACTTATTTAATGACTACGAGGTAAACAGTCAAACTGTTGTCCCGAGGTAGTGGGGGAGACCTGGGAAACTGTTGCCCAAGGCCGAAGGCCAAGGGCAACAGTTTCCCAGGTCTCCCCCACGTACTACTGAGGGACAACAGTTTGACTGTTTCACCGAGTAGTCATTGAATAAGTGTTTTATTACCTAACCTACTATATAATTAATTAAATTGGAATAAAAACACACAAACAATCAATAAAAAGTTTTCACAATTGTTTATTCACATACTTGTCTATTAATTAGCTGAATACATAATATAAAGACTAAATTAATATTTTTATTTTAAAGTAATACTTAATAAATTTATTGTTTGTGTGTTTTGTTTAAATTTAATTCATTATAGAGCAGGTAAATAGTGATGTCGTGATCATCAAAACGCTTGAATATCACAATGACGCTTTAACCAGTCAACAGTTCATTCTGTGGACCGGTCAACAGTTCACTGTTTCATGATCACGCAAAAACATAAAGTAAACCGTGAAACAGTTCAAAATGCCTAATTATAATTTAGGTAGTAAGTTAGGTAATAATAAATCTTATTTGTCTGTCAGTCTGGCCATCTTTGACAGTATGTGCATCTGTCACAATAAATTTAACCTTGATCATAACTTTTGAATAATATGAGATAGGGCTTTTATATTTCACATGTACATTACCACAAAACTTTCTAAATGTACTATGATTTTTTAACCCAAGTGAGACCTTGACCTCAAAATTTTACCTACTTTCCAAAAAATAACATTTTAAATTAATCATTTTGAAAGAGAAAAGATATGGCATTTAAATTATGATGTATATTACATGTGAAAAGACTTTACTAAATATATCATGACCTTTGACTTTCTGATCTTGACGTAGAAGTTTAACCTACTTTTCAAAAATATTATATTATATATTTATATATATATAACTTTTGATTGAAAAGAGATGGGTCGATCTTTCATATTTGACATGTACTTTACTTGCAACAAAATATTTCGAGCATGCGATGATTTCCCCCCTTTGACCTAATTTTCATAAAGTGACATATGATAGGGATGCATATTTGATACACAATCTGCCATAAATTATGGCATCCCATTCACTTAAACACAGAAAGCAAAGGACCACAATTCTTTGAATTTGCATGTATAATCTTGATATGGAAACATCCTCATATAATGTATATTCAAGTTTTTTATGCTACGCCATGATTAGGAATACATGTATTAGTTTTTGTCATGTCCGTCCTCCACCCTTCCATCTGTCTTTCCATCGAGCTCAAATAAATTACTTTCTAGATATTTTATCAAAGTTCATATGCTGATGCATATACTGATGTAAACTATCCAACTGTGGCAATATTTTTTATGCGCCCGGATCGATAGATCCCGGGCATATATTGTTTTTGTCCTGTCTGTTTGTCTGTTTATCTGTTTGTCTGTTTGTCTGTTGTCAACTATAACTTTGGCCATAACTTTTGAACAATAAGAGATAGAGACTTCATATTTGGTACGCATACTCCACTATTAAAGTCCTTTCAAATGACATCAAGGTCAATGACCTTGTGACCTTGACTGTGACCTATATGCTAAAAATAGCTTTTTCCACTGTTTGTCATAACTTTTTAATCATAGGAGATAGGGACTTGATATTTGGTATGCATACTCCTCTAATAAAGCCCTTTCAGTTGACAACAAGGTCAATGATCTTGTGACCTTGACTGTGACTTATATGCTAAAAAAAGCTTTTTACACTTTTTGCCATAACTTTTGAACCATAGGAGATAGGAACCTCATATTTGGGATGCATACTCCACTGATTAAGTTCTTTCAGATGACACCATGGTCAATGACCTTGTGACCTTGACCGTGACCTAGATGCTAAAAATAGCTTTTTACACTTTTTGCCATAACTTTTTTACCATAGGAGATAGGAACTTCATATTTAGGATGCATACTCCACTGATTAAATTCTTTCAAATGACACCATGGTCAAGACCTTGACTGTGACCTATATCCTAAAAATAGCTTTTTACACTTTTGGCCATAACTTTTAAACCATAGTAGATAGGGACTTCATATTTGGGATGCATACTCCACTGATTAAGTTCTTTCAAATGACACCACGGCCAGTGACCTTGTGACCTTGACTGTGACCAATATGCTAAAAATAGATTTTTTGAACTTTGTTTCCGCTGGGCGCATAGTGTTTCACAAACACATCTTGTTTACCTTTACTTTCCTTTGACCTTTACTTAACTTTTCTTAAAATTAGTGGTTAGCTTTATTTTAGAGAAACCGTAATGATTCAAGTTGTGTAATGAAACTTCACATGATGATACATACTGATGAAAGCAATTAAAGCTTTACAATGCTTCACTCTTTTTTACCTTGACATTTCCTGTGATCTTGACCTCACTGTCTTAGACTAGATCAGTTTTGAATAAACAGTTCAAGATATACAGTAAAACTCGTTTAGTACGAACACGGATATTGCGAATTTACGGATAAAGCGAAGTCATTTTGAATCCCCAACTATATAAATTTAATGAATTTCTTTTACGGTTATAACGAATTACGAATATAACGAAGT